CACACACACACACACACACACACACACACACACACACACACACACACTACATCGTCTTTATCCATTCATCTATGGACGTTTAGGTTGTTTCCATGTTTTGGCTATTGTAAATAGTGCTGCTATGACCGTAGGGGTGCATATATCTTTTTGAATTGTAGTTTTGTCCGGATATATGCCCAGGAGTGGGATTGCTGGATCATATGACAACTCTATTTTTAGTTTTTTGAGGAACCTCCATACTGTTTACCATAGTAACTGCACCAACTTACATTCCCACCAACAGTGTAGGAGGGTTCCCTTTTCTCCATACCCTCTCTGGCATTTGTTTTTTTGTAAACTTTCTCATGATGACCATTCTGACCTGTGTGAGATGGTACCTCATTGTAGTTTTGATTCACATTTCTCTAATAATTAGCAATGTTGAACATCCTTTCGTGTGCCTGTTAGGCATCTGTATGTCTTCTTTGAAGAAATGTCTATTTAGCTCTTCTGCCCATTTTTTGATTGGGTTGTTTGTTTTTTTTGTTGTTGAGTTGCATGAGCTGTTTGTATATTTTGGAAATTTATCCTTTGTGAGCCGCATTGCCTGCAATATTTTCTTCCATTCCATAGGTTGTCTTTTCATTTTGTTTATGGTCTCCTTTGTTATGCAAAAGCTTGTAAGTTTGATTAGGACCAATTTGTTTATTTTTGCATAGACTTACCTATTCTTGAATGCCATATGAATGGAATCATACAGCAATCACTCTTGTGAATATGGTTTATTTAGCTCAATGAAGTGTTTTTGAGATTCACTCATATTGTTGAGTCTATCTGTTTGAGGATCTTAGGCTTTATAATTTAAATAATTAAACTGCCATAAAAACATGCTTTATGATGCTACTGTCAGGTATAAAACACAAAATATGCAAATCAAAGATCACATCATGGGTGAAACTACCGGTCCTTCTAAGCTTTTTAGAATAATTGATGTTTTAAAAGCCTACTTCATTTCTTCCATCCAACGTCCAATATATCATCTTCAAAAAATATAAAATTGGAAACATTATCTGGACAAGTAATACCGCAATAGAATAGAATGTAAGTGCCTTGAAGGCAGGAATTTTTGCTTGTTTACATCCTTGAGGTATCTCAAGGTCCTAGAACAGGGCCTGGCACAACAGTAGTTACCCAGTGGATATTTGTTGAATAAAAAACATCAAGAAAAGGGATTTTCTGTCATTGATCTTTTTCATTTTCAGATTCTCAGTCCTGGGGCTGCTACCATTAACCCCTATATTGCTGTGAATATCTTGATTGTTGTGGGTGTTACCATCATGATTCTGGGTTTCCTGGGATGCTTTGGTGCCATGAAAGAAAACCAGTTCGTGCTTGTTTTGGTGAGTTTTCCTGACAAATCCCAATACCCAACCTTCAGACTTTAAGGATTATCTCCCATCCCCATTGTCTGTCAAAAGGACTTGCCAAGATTGATGAAACTCTCTCACTTTTGTTTAGAGGGTTTGGTTGTGGAAGTTAATATATTTATCTTAGATTAGAGGATACTGTGAGAGAAGACAAATTTTAGTTAGTCATTCAGTCATTCATTCAATTACTAAGTACCTGCTATGTGCCAGATACTGTGCTAAAAGATACATAGATATGAAAACAATTAGAACCCATTAGGGAAGACTGACAAGTAAACAATTAGCAACAGTGAAGGTGGCCCAAGAAGAGAAGGGCAAGGATAGAGAAGGGAACTTTCAAGCCAGAAGCAAAAGTGAATAAGGTGTTTGTACGGGTGAGTGTGTGAAGAGCTTTCCAGGGAGAGGACCTGGCAGTACAATGCTAGCATGTTTGGGGAACTGCAAAGCCTTGGGTATGGCTAGAGAGTGCAAGGGCTACTTTCAGTAAATAATGGAAGACGGGTCTGGGTGTGGGCTACAGTCAAATCGTAGTCCATGCTAAGAAAATTGTAAGGGTGTGAGATAATCAAATTTGTCCCTTAGAAAGCTTCAAGGATAGATTGGGTTGGGATAACCCACAGATATTCACTTTTAACACATATACAGTAGAAAATCATAAATGGGTATAGAAAAAATATTAGAAAAATTCATCAAGTATTTACTAGATAGAAATCTGACATGAGTTTATCAGAGCTCATCTAAACTTGTTTCTCTGATAAAAGTAGTATTGTGTTAGTCCCTGAACAAATAATTTTTAACTGATGGTTGATTAGGAGGGAAGGTAAAGATAGAGTTTTAATGGGACTCTAATAGCATCCCTGGTGGTTGCTTTTTGATTAATAAGACTTCATTTGCAATTTGGGGAATTATTTTTATTTTTATTTATTTTTTTTTTTGCGGTATGTGGGCCTCTCACTGTTGTGGCCTCTCCCGTTGCGGAGCACAGGCTCCGGACGCGCAGGCTCAGCGGCCACGGTTCACGGGCCCAGCCGCTCCGGGGCATGTGGGATCTTCCCGGACCGGGGCACGAACCCGTGTCCCTTGCATCGGCAGACAGACTCTCAACCACTGCACCACCAAGGAAGCCCCAATTTGGGGAATTTAATTACTTGAGGAACTTGTTTTAACAAAAAAACTAATTTGTGGGATCCTCCAAAAGTAGGATTCAGTAGATCTGAGGCAGATTTCAGGACTCTCTATATTTATAACAAGACCCCAGGTGATTCTAATAGTGGTAGAGATGTTGTTTTGTATTCAGTTCTGAAGTTTGTCTTGAAGTTTGAGTTTGTGTTTGATGAAGGACGAGAAAGATCATATTCAAATAACTTCATCTAAGTTTTCAAACTTCCCTCCATTCAACATCATACCGATGCATACAGTCCTATCAGTTGATTTTAGTTTTAACTGTTTTCCTTAGTCAGTCTTTGGAGAGAATGTTTCTGAGTAGTAATGACCCCAATTTTGATTCTTGAGGCAAAGGATGGAGTAAATGAAGAGCATGGTTAATACTCCAACTGTAATATGATCCCAACTGCAGAAAGAAGCATGGTGCCAAAATGTCCCTAGATGTTACTGAATGTACTGGGTGTAATATATATTCCTTTTCTTTTCTTTCAGTTTTTCATAGGGTTGATTCTGGTCCTACTTCTGCAAGTGGTGGCAGGTATCGTAGGAGCTACTAACAAATCTAAGGTGTGTACACGTATGATACTTAATAATCTTGGAAAAGTCTGAAAAATTGACATGCTACCTTCTGGCATGAATAATTTAACAATACTTTTCAATTTTCAGACTGAACGTGCTCTTAAAGAGACTCTCCAGACTAATGTACATCTTTTGAGTGCACCAAATGGAAAACCATTCCAGAAAGCCTTTTCTGAAATTCAAGAAAAGGTAATTAGAGTTTGTAAGTTATCTGGAGAGTTGGACGTAGTTCTCTGTTTACTTAATTTTTAACAGGTGTATTCTTTAAAGATTGAAAAATGTCTCTCCCTTCTGCAGATTTTGACTGATTATTCTGTCACTATGCCATAAGAAAAATCCAGGAATATTTCTAATTTTTCCCCACCTTCTTACGAAGTTCTGAGGCAGCATAGGCCAGAGATTAAGAAGATAATGTTTATGAAAGATTAAGCCTCGATTGAGCCAGATCAATAAGGATTTTAATATTTACCATTTAGAAGGATAGTGTGTTTGGGATGCTTGGAGTTTCTCTCTCTCTCCTTCTCTGCCTCCATGCCCACCCTTCTCTCATAAAATTAATTACAGCTATCATTTATTGCTACTTAGTGTGTACCAGATTTACATTCAGTAGCTCATTTAATTCTCACAACAACTCTATGAGTTGGATAATATCGTTATCCTCATTATCTTTATTAGACAGATGAGGGGATTACGACTTCGAGAGGTCTGACAGCTAACAAGTGATGGGGTTGGAATTTGAATACAGATCTGTCTGACTCACTAATTCCTTTTAAGCAGTACAGTAGCCCTTCCAGTATATATGTATGTATGTATTTACTTTGGCTACTTCACTGTCTTCAGGGTAAAGTCAAAGTTTGGGCAGGTATTGAAGGTATTCTACTATCTGGATCCTACCTAATATTTTAACTTTACTAAATACTACTCCATGAAGAAAGCACTCTAGTCCAGCCAGGTTTGTCTTCTCAGGATCTCTTAAACAAATCTGCCTTCCTGCCTCTGCATCATTCCTCATCCTTGGAATGTACTTACTACTTTTCTTTCTTTACAAATACTACATGTGCTTTGAGGTTTGACTAAAGTATTGCTCTGTGAAACTCCTCCCAACCACACCTTCTTTACTCAGAATTTCCATCATATTAACTACGTGTAGCATTTATTTCACGTATGTCATAGAAATCCTCCTAATCTTAGAGGGGAGCTAGATTTTACAGGACATTTAACCTGACTTCTCATTAATTGAAGTATTTTATGTTTATGTTCATACACCCTCTAATTAAATATTGAAGAGCTGAAAGTTTGCCCATTTTTGCCCATTCCATCCCATTCCCTTTACATCTAAGTCTGATGATTAATGTGTTCTTTCTTAATTTGAAACAAAATCTTCCTCCCTAGAATTTATATCATTTAGTCTTAGTTCTTCCTTCTGGAATTTCAGAGGAAAAAAAAATCTACTTCTACATATTGCAAATTTTTCTTTGAAAATGGCTTCTCATATGACTTCTAAAAGCTTTGATTTTGAACTTGTTTCTTGAACTATTTATCAGATGACATTTTTTCCCAGAGCATTCCCCAGTCCCTATTTGGAGAGACCCCAGCTTGTAAAAATTCTGCTTAAAGCATCATTTCCAGGAGCTGAAACCTGATATGAGTTAGTCTCTGTTTAACTTCCTCTGTGTTATGTTTTTCCTAGCTCCCCCAGAGCTGTACTCCTTGATCCTCTCTCCTCCAGGATTATTCCCACTTTAGAGTCCAGATTAATCCAAGTTTAAAAGCAGGAAGAATTTAGGCAACTCAGTTTCTCCACTGGGTGGGACCAAGCATCCTTGATCTTCCCTGCTTGCTGATCTAGGGCAAAATGTACTACAGGTAACCACTGGGTCTCTGGGTTGGGTCCTGCATCACACTTGTTTCACGTTGTCCCTGGTATCCAAGGGCTTAGTGCCAACCATAGGGTTTTAAATGTTCTGTTTGATGTAGCACAATTCTGAATTACTTCTGCTTTTGTACACAAATTCTGTGCCTGAAGCTCCTTGCATTCCCAGGACTATGGTTCTCTTTTATTGTCTATTTTTGTTTGTTTGTTTGTTTGTTTTAAATGTATATCCACAAGGATTTTCTTTTCTTTTTTTTTAGTAATGCCTCTTTGGGAAAAGAATCCTACCCCAGACTCTGGCTAGGTGACCTGGGGCCCCATCACACATAGATAATTTGTAGATATTAAGTGGCTTTCTTTTTGGTTTTCAGGGAATTCCCACAGAAATTCTCTGCTAATGTACTAGTGGAATGTGCCTCTCTTGAATTCTTAGTGATGACTGCTTGTCTAGAGATTGTTGTATCATTCACTGAACAGTGCCTTGTTCATCCAACTGCTATCACACTTTCAATGCATCCTGACCAACCTCTTCCCCAACTGCTCCCACATCTGATCTGGTGACTAGATATTATACCAGGTTTAGCCTTTCTACCTCCTGCTCTGTCTTTTGTAAGTGTGTCTCTATACCTCCCTAAGGAATACTGTATTCCAAAAATGGATTGCTCTGTGAGTGTATATAGTGGGACATATTCTTTTTGATCTGGAGTGTCTGTATCAATATCATTCAAGATTATTTAATCAGAAAGAGTGAGCAATTAATTATGTCTACCATGGAAACAAGAAAGGAAGTTGTTTCAAGATTACTCTCTTTGCTAATACTGATTGACCTTGAGACCATCAGAAATCTCCAGCTCTTTGTCACGTGAATGTCTAATGAGTCATACATTTGTGCAAGTAAATCTTTGACCTAAAGCACAAGACTTTATATCTGCCACAGTTGAACCTGTTAGTTTAAGTCCATTGTTTGAACTATTTTTGGAACTCCATTTTGTTCTCCAATGTATTAATCATCACTCCCAGCTCTATATCAACTACAGAGTTGAAAAGACACTTTCTATAATGTTATCTAAAGTACTGATATCAATGTTGAACAGATCATGTTCATGTTAGAGCACAAAGGAAACAACAACAATAAACACAAAACAAAAACAACAATGATGACAGTTAACACGTGTTGAGTACTTTCTACAAGCCAGGCATTGAGCTAAACAGTTCATATCTTCACATGGGTATTCTATTTTTATCTTTCCAACAACTCTATGAATTAGATACTATCATTAGCGACTCTTATTATCTGTATTTTACAGATGAAGAAACTGTGGCACAGAGAGGTTTAAGTAACATGGGTAATGTGGTCACCAGCCAGTAAGTGTAAGTCCTTTCAATAGCCTACCATTGCAATGCACTTGAGCCTTAGAAAAACACCCAGTCTTGGTTCTATTTTCTTCAGTTTTTTTCTACCCTTCTGCATGAGAAGTTTTCTCTCTAATTAAAGCAAATAGGGCAAGATGAGATAATGACCTCTCTCTTTCATCTAATAATATTATGTGCCATTACTCTGAGTCATTGGGCTTATCCCTTTCTTGTTTTACTTCCCCAAACATGATCACAACTTTCCTTAGTGTTTCCCCATGTTTTGGTTTATTTTGAGCCTTAACCTTCCCGACATTATTCTAAGAGTTTCATTCATCATTTTCACCCCTTAGCTGTTTTACAGATGTCCGTGTAAAATTCAGTCTCATGGAAGGTCCACTAAGCATCTTCTTTGGCCTTTGAGATGCCTCTCATTCTTTTCCCCCTCTCCTCCAAAAGTGATCAAAGGTCATGAGATAGAAATTTCACTTTTCAAACCTCTCATCTTTTTTGAGTAAAAGTTCTTTAAAGAGACCTTGACTCTCTCATGAACTCTCTGGAAGCTTCTTTTCTAAGACCTAAGAAGCATAAATCTGATTCTGCCCCTCTCTTTTTTCATTAAAAACTAGAAGGTGAGTTTTTTATATTCTCTCCAAGTTCTTCAGGCTTTTTCATCTGAAACTCTATTTTTTCCTTCATTAAAATGAAGGCCAAAATGGAAGATTCCTTCATTTTTGTTTCTTCATTCAGCGAGTTAAGTGAGGTGACTTATACGATATGCTAGTATAAGAAACATCTTAATAGTGGTTTCAGAAGAATGTGATTCAATGTATTGACAATGTTTTTGTCTTCTCTCGTGACTGTTTTTCATATCTACTTTTCATCAAACAGTTAAAATGTTGTGGTTTGATCAATGGAGCTTCTGATTGGGGAAATAACTTTCAATACTATTACAAGTCATGTGAATGTCCAAGTGCATCAGATTCTTCTTGTACAAAGTATGATGGAAAAACTATTTACAAACAGGTGAGAACAAATCAAATTTGGCACAGTAAGTGCTTCTGTTGTTTTTTTTTTTCCACAATGAAAGTCTCCACAAAATATTAAATTGCAGCAGTTACAATGGGAATCATGATATAAAAGTCCCAGGAATTTCCCAAATTAAAAAAAAATCCTTATTTAAAGATAAAAGTAGATATAAAAATGAAAGTATTTTATTTCTTCTATGAGTCTGGCATCATTTAAATTCAACTTTAGTAGATCAAAGAAACATTCTACTGCAAGGGGAGGCAAAGTACAAGCTAACAGATAAAAGTTTATTTTGTCCTGTCTTTGGTGACTTTAATCATTATCCTCCTCTATTTTTCTATTTTAACATAGGTCTTAGAAATCTATATTTTCACTTTAATTTTCAAAGTAAAGCTTTCTTTTTCCAATCAAAGTTTCTCTTTCTCAAGTAATTGTATTGGGTGTAAAGAAATAACTTGGGCTTTAGAGGTTTCCGCTCTGGTTGTTAAGTGTACCTACCAATTTGCCTAATTACTGCTCCAATTGAGAAGTTGCCTCATGCCTTTAAAGTCAATTGAAAAACTTGGGGGACTTCCCTGGTGGTCCAGTGGTTACGACTCTGTGCTTCCACTGCTGCGGGCACGTCCCTGGTCTGGAAACTAAGATCCCACTTGCCACTTGGTGCAGCCAAAAAAAAAAAAAAAAAGAAAAGAAAAACTTAGGTTTGTCTTTCATGTGTTGTAGAGATGACATATTTATGTCACTTGCGAATGTTAATATGTGGATGTTATATTTCTTATTATTCCTTAATTCATCAAATATTTATTGACCACTTCCTATGTACTGGCCTTTCACCAACTGCTGGAGATCCATTCCTAAACAGGGCACAATGTCTGCACTCACAGAGTGAATGCTTTAATAGGGAAGAGAGAAAGATAAGTAGGCAACTTCAATCCAATGAACTATTGGTATTTCTTGGATAGGACCAGGCACAGGATATGATGGGACCCCATTTAACTCAGTCTTTGGGGTTCAAGATACAGCTTCCTGCAGGACATGATATGTCTCTTACCATAGGGCTTTACATAATTTGTTCCTTCTGCCTGGAAGGGAAGTGTACAGAAATGACAGTTGATATTAATGTTTCATTTATTTGCTGTTATTCTTCACTGCTTACTAGGTGTCAGACAGACCCTTGCTGGAATCAGACATGCTTGTGGACCCTCTAGGAGATTATAGGCTAGATGAGAGAGAGATACATGAAAGCTATTATAGTTCAGTGAGTTAATTTCTGTAATCCCTAAAGAATATTTTCAATCTAGCATTGGTTTAGTAATGGCTACTGAGGTTAATTATATATTAGGAAATAGGAAGTATCTCAGGGGAAATGTCTCACCTGTTGACTATCGCATCCCTTTTACTAATTTTATCAAAATAAAGGAGACTGTTCTGAAGGGAAATTGCTGTTACTAGTATTTAAAGTAACACATGGGGGGGAAGTTATCTACCAGATTACAGAGCTTCCATGTCTTTTCATCATCAAAGTAATTATCACTAAAAGTTTTCATTATTAATTTTTATATTCCTCCCTGCTCTCCTCCTCTCTATGTAATTTCAGTGACGCAATATCCACAAGGAGGAGGGGAAATAACTATGATGTAAACAAATGGAGTTTCCACTTAGGATAATGAGGAAATTAGTAAATTAAATTGTAGATTGCTATCTGTGTCCTGTTAAAGGTTCAACTCAAAGATGTGTTTCCTCAGGATAGATTTTGAAATGCCCTAGCATTATTCTGAAAAATAATAGATATTCCCTCCAAATTCATACATAATTCAGCTGAAGATAGACTTATAGCTGCACCAGTTTCCCAAAAGGAAGATCATAAATTCATGAAAGACTTCCATCTGCCTTGTGTCACTTGCAAGAAGTCTGGAAAAATAAGAAATCTGGAATGTCCATAATTCACATTTCTCTTTTCCCCTCCCTTTTGCCGAGATAACCTGGTTATGTAGAGGGGGAGGGGGAGAAAACCCCTAAAATATAATGAATGTGACTCAGTAGATACCATTAATCTCATAGTTAATCTTAGATGATGTAATAATTTCCTCTAATGTTTACCACTTTGGATCAGATGAGAATGGAGAAACCCATTACATTCGGAATGAAGGGGAAGAGACTGTCTTAACCTCATGGAGAACTTTTATTTTATTTAACAAATAGCAATATTTTGTTAGCCCTTTGCACATATAAGACCATCATAGGGATGATATATTTTCTGGCAATACAGACAATAACACTATTACATTGTATATTATTTTTCCATTTTTAAAATTATTCATATAATTTACAATTTTTGAAATTTTTAGGTCTGGTCTAAAATATGTTAAACTTGAAATTTCATGCTGGTTTGAATAAATGTTTAAAAATGTGGCAGAGAGACAAATTTCTAAATTCTCTTTTTGTCTAAAGTAAGAGCATAACGTGGACATAATGATTTTTTTTCCTTTTTAAGGTAAAAATAACCCTGACACATATTAAGGGATTTTTGAAAAAAACTTTGTTTTAAAAATGAAAATGTAGGGACTTCCCTGGTGGCTCAGTGGTTAAGGATCCACCTGCCAATGCAGGGAACATGGGTTCGATCCCTGGTCCAGGAAGATGCCACATGCCACGGAGCAACTAAGCCTGTGCACCACAACTACTGAGCCTGCACTCTAGAGTCCGTGAGCCACAACTACTGAGCCTGTGTGCCACAACTACTGAGCCCGTGTGCCACAACTACTGAAGCCCGCATGCCTAGAGTCTGTGCTCTGCAACGAGAAGCCATTGCAATGAGAAGCCTGCGCACCACAACGAACAGTAGCCCCTGCTCGCTGCAACTAGAGAAAGCCCGCGAACAGCAATGAAGACCCAACATGCCAAAAAATAAATAAAAAATTTTTAAATCATTAAAAAAATGAAAATCTACACTATAATTAGCTGAAACCTCAACGAGGGAACTCTCTGCTGCAGGTTACAAACCTAAAAAATACACAGTCAAGGTGATAACAGCTCTAAAATGAACAATCAGAAGTTAGGATAAAATGAGTATTTATAACTAAATAGCCCTAGATTCAGTAATTAGGTAGTTGAAGCAAAACTTTGTTCCTCAAATGCTTCCTAATGTATGAACAAACCACAACAGTTATAACCTTTCGGAGCGGGGAAGGAGCTTGGAGTGGCGGGAATAATCCAATTCCTTTCTGTTGAGTATGTTCCTTGATAGCAATGTAAAAAGTTAGCCCAAAAAATAAATATTTGTACTGTACTAAAATAAGGTCAAAATTTGACTAAAGGTAATTTTTTAATGTTTTTAACAGTCATGCTTTTCTTTGATAAGATGCTTATTTTCAAGAAGTCTTTCCATAGTTATTGGACTAGCGTTTGGACTGGCAGCTGTTGAGGTATAGTATTATCTTGCATTATTAATTCTTTGTTTATTCCCTTGTTTGCTCATTAATTTTTCTAACAAATTTTTCTAACAAATCTAAGAGCCAAATAAAAACCAGGTGCTTCAGAAAAGCACTGGGTACCAAGTGCCCAAGGCCCAGCATCTGCCTCTACTGGCCTTGGGTCTGGGGAGGGGATTATCGTCTTAGGAAATTGGCAGGGCAGAAGCTATTATTTCTGAATGATCTCTCTCCTGGGGGAAGAAGTTGAATTAATTTCCACACAGTTCTTAGTCCCAGATATCCTTTTCCCATTGAAAACTAGCACAAGGGTTAATGTTTCCTGAAGTTAGAAGAAGCACCAAACAAAATAAAAACACAAGCTTTACAAGTTTTTATCCCTCCTTCTGATTTTGAAATAGAAAATAAAAACTGAACTCAAGAGTGTGGAGAACTGTTTTCCTGCTATTCTAGTCTAGAGAAATCTAACAAGTTCTAAAAACTAGACAGTTGACTTTGATTTTCTCACTGTAAGGACTATGGACTCACTTGGAGAAGTGTTTAAGGATGCTCTGCTTGAGGTTTCTGCATTTACTCTCATCAATTTGATTATTGACTTTGAAAAAAAAATGCTGTATAGGAGTTTTATCTTGCTAGACTCTTCTGGCATGGTGTTTTCAGAAGGATTTTTTTTTTTAACGTGGCCTGAAATTCTTTGCAAAAAGATGAAATAAAACTATTTCAGGGAAGTGTTTTTGTAATCATCCCAGATCTTGCTAATTTAGATATCAAGTGAGTCAAATTCACTCACCAGTCCACGTCAGGGCATTGGCAAGAATCCTAACGATGTTAGGTGTCTCCCTAGTTAACGCCTCTGCGGGCTGGTTTGCTCAGCTAAGTGAGTTTTACCTTACTCTCATGAAATATCGTACAACGTTCTCCTTGGGTTTTCTGGTAGCTTTTACCTCTTACTTGTGCCACATCACTGTCAGAGAGTAACTTTAGCTGAGATTGAAGCAATTTAGTGTCCTAAGTGGTCATTTAGGTTACCGGTGGAATTTCTCAGCCAACCATAAGAGAAAGGGCTGGAACTATGAGAAGCAAATTGGGCTATTAAACATGACCTCCTTGTAACCCAAACGAATAGGTCCAAATATGAAGAATTTTTTGTTGGTAGATGCGGCTGTCTTCCTTTATGTCTGATATATGACCAAAGTTAAATGGTGCTGTGCATTAGGTCTGTTTCTGTCAATTCTACCCACTGTAAAATGTCCTTTGTTTCTCTGCTTTGTAGAGTTTATGCTCTACAAAGAGCATAAACTCTTTTGGGTTTATGCTAATTGGGTTTATGCTAATTTGGGGTTTATGCTAATTTAGAAATATGAGTTAATGGCTGTGGATGTAAGTGAGCAATCACACATATGTACTCACACATCCATAAACTACAACACACACATGTGTTGGTAAAGTAGACTTTAAATGAGCCAGCTTTAAATGAGGTATTCAGGGCTTCCCTGGTGGCACAGTGTTTAAGAATCTGCCTGCCAATGCAGGGGACACAGGTTTGAGCCCTGGTCTGGGAAGATCCCACATGCCGCGGAGCAACTAAGCCCGTGCGCCACAACTACTGAGCCTGCGCTCTAGAGCCTGTGAGCCACAATTACTGAGCCCGTGTGCCACAACTAATGAAACCCTTGCGTCTAGAGTCCACGCTCCGCAACAAGAGAAGCCACTGCAATGAGAAGCCCGCACACCACAACCAAGAGTAGCCCCTGCTCACCGCAACTAGAGAGAGCCCACATGCAGCAACGATGACCCCAACACAGCCAAAAATAAAATAAATTTATTAAAAAAATAATTGAGGTATTCAATGTAAGTGTCAATATAAGTGTCACATTCCATCTTAGACTCAAATTCAGACAATTGACTTTGGCCACAACCCACAGATGCTTTTAAGAAGCTTCTCAAAAGCAAAGCCGGGGAAAAAAGGACATAATCAGCTGGGAAGATTGATGTCTCTCATATCATAGCCAAAGACATTGCCAAGAATCTAAAGACATCTGATGGAAAATAAGATTACAAGAGGAATAGCATTTCAGTATTTTATGAAATTGGTATACTCCATATATATATTTGTTATATATTTAGATATTGGTTGTTCTAAAGATATATATATATATATATATATATATATATATATATATATATGAAAATACCTTACTGAAAACCTTTCATAGAGGAATTTTTAGGTATAGAATTTACATGGTAATATCACAAACTATAACCATTTCAAGTTATGCCAGTTAAGTGTGATTTGTAGACTTTATGTAGATACGATAGTTGGTTCAAAGAACTGTTTGAAATTTTTTTTTCATTCACTCTCTCAATAGAAAATCTGCCCTCCCCCTGGCATTTGAAGAGAAAGAAAAATCATTTTGTATTCCCTCTCATTTTTACTTTAAAAAATAGCTTTGAAAATAGTCTATAGCTAAGGTAGCTATTCTATAAAAACGTATCCAAAAAATGTCCATCAGTCTGTCTTACAGTCTTAATACTAGTTGCCTAACACTTAGGCCCATCTACATTCTCTTTTCCCCAACTTCAAATTCAAGAAAACATAAAGATATATAGACAGAAAAATACTTCTAATAAATATTTTTAAGAAGCAAACAAAGCAAATATCTCCCTGCAGAAAATACACTTAAAACTATCTCCATAGAAAAATATCATATGAAAAAACCCACCCTCTGACATTTACATCATTGGCGTTAGTCTGTTTAGGCATAGGCTCTGATGGAATGGCCGATGGTTTTTGTCAAGGCTCTGTTAAGAACATATACCTGAGGGATTCTTCTCAGGTAGGATGCTAGAAATCTATGCAAAATGCTTTGTTTTGTAAGAAAATGTTATCTATAGACACTGGAATTCTCATTATTCTGCATTAACCAGACGATCATATCTCTCCTTATTTGACTACAGCAACTTACAAGCACAAAAAATGATCAGCACTTTCTCTCCTCACTTTAATTAAGGGGAAAAAAAAAAAAAAGCCATTGACACTGATAGTCACCACTTTGTAGGATAAAAGTTATCCTGACAGGAGGTCCCAGGAATGGACCCAGGAATGGTCCCAGGAATGGAGCAGTTAAAAGAGAGAAAAAATAATTTTACATTTTTTAGATGGCTTCAGAATATGGGGAGCATGTGTACGTTACTTAGCAAGTTTATCCTGAGTCTTAGCATACATTACTATAGGATGAATCTCTTTTAATTATTACCTATTTTTACGAACAATGATACATTTTCTTTTCAGAGGCAGTGAAATGCAAGAAAGTATGGTATTAACTGTCTAGTCTGCTGATGCAAGCTGGGCTTCTATTTCACAGATGTGACAGTGAAAGATGATAGCTGCCTTATCCCACTGTTTTGCCCATTTTCGTGATTCTTTCCTGATACTCATCTCCCAGACTTAAGGCTTGGGACCAAAGCAAAAGACTAAATTGTAACATTTTCTCCGGTCATTCAAAAAGAATGACTTTTAGAACATTCTGAATGAAAGTCATTATTTTTGCAAAGAATTGGTGTCAATATTTTTTTTTAAGAGTTTTTGACTTGCACTATTTTTAAAGTCTTTATTGAATTTGTTACAATATTGCTTCTGTTTTCTTTTTGGTTTTTTGGCCACGAGGCATGTGGGATCTTAGCTCCCGACCAGGGATCGAGCCCTCATCCCCTGCATTGGAAGACAAAGTCTTAACCACTGGATGGCCAGGGAAGTCCCTCAGTATTTTTTTTTTTTTGAAGGAAAAAATATTGGGCAGCAGTTCTCATTTGAAAGGCATTTCCGGGAAAGAATTGGTAAGCAGGACATCTCCGTACAGTAGGAGCGCTGGAGATGACTCAGCATAAATGGCATCTCATCCTCTCCCTGACTCCCCTCAGAGGAGGCTGGTGGAGAGGAAACTTTCTATCTGCAATACACACAGGTTCTGTCATTTCTACATCAAAGCCACAGCATGCCACTCACCAACTTTAGAGCCATTTAGGGCAAGTGCTGGGGTCCCTCATTCTTGGGAGAGCCACTTAATGAGATGGAAATTATGCCCCAGATTTTCAGCTGTACATTTTCACTTCAAAGGAAATTCCTGAATGATGCCATTCCCCTTCAATTTAGAAGCTTTTTAAGAAAAGGGTTACTTTTTCTTTCATTCCTCTTGGCGATGCCTAAAAATATGGCAAGAGAAATTCTAGACTCCTTGATTTTTATGTGGATGATCTAAACCAGATGATTATAAGCTTTTCATAGAAGCAGTAGGCATCTTTAGACCCAGAGGCCTGAGTTCCCCAGAGTTCCATGGCCATGCCCTACAGAAGGGTGTGTGTATTCCAGAAGGGTGGGTTGCTTCAGTGACAGCTGCTACTGCACAATCAAATAGGGCCAGTTAGAGGCAGACTGCTAGCTGAAAACCCTGATTGAAACACAAAAATACTGAGCATTTTCTCAATGTTAGAGTCTCTAATTTCCCAGGAAGGGAGATGACTTAGATAAATAACATTCGAATTGTCAGTAGCCAGAATCTTTTCATATACAATGTTCTTTTTATTTATACTATCTCTAGTGTTTTACTTTAAATTCCATGTTAATCCTCTTATTTTCTAGGTACTTGGTCTGACACTTTCTATTGTCCTGTACTGCCAGATCAGGAAGAAATAAGTCTGTAGATGTGTCAAGTCATCATCGGTCAAACCCCTTTAAAATTTTGTTTTGGATTTGTAACTTTAAATATATGAGTGCTGTGTTAAGAGCAGCTGTCCTATTAAAATGTGTCATTTAGCTAGATCGCAGAGATCTTCCAGTCATATTGAACATATTTAAGATTTCAGGGACACAAGGAAATTAGATGAATGTGCATTTTTCCTCAAAATAAAAGTAACATTGTTTACATTGATGCTTTTTCCTGTCTGATCATTGTGTTCAGGTGGTACTGTGCTTAAAGCATTCATCTGGAGCCACCCAGTGGAATAATAATCTCTAAGTAACAGGACCATAGTTAGTTAAGGCAGTGCGTCTAGGCTTTTCAGAAGCAACACTCTGTCTTGCGTGATGTATCAACCATTGGTGGTAAGATCGAATTAAGCCTCGTGTTGGAAGGTTGAGAGTGGCCCAGCTAAAAGAGTCACCGTCTCCTGTCTGTTTATGCCAGTGTCTACTAATAGTGTTTCTTTTTCTCTCTGTTGTGAGGACAAGAAGATCTGAATGCTGCCTTTCCAGCCATTGAATCTCTGGTACGTCTCTGAATCTTCCTCTGGGAAATAGTTCTAAGTGCTTTTCCCTTTGTAGCTCTCACAGGCATTTTTACATTTTACTTTATATCAAGGTATAGTATACACACAATAAAGTGAGCAAATCTTAAGTATTCACTACCTGGATAGCAAGCACTGTCCAGATCAAGATATAGAGCATTTCCAGCACACCAGAGCACCCCTTCATGTTACCCCCCGGGGCGGCTGGAGTTGGAGCTCACCGACGTGCCAGAGCAGACTATATACATATCCATCTCTTCCCAACTTCGTGCTCAGTGACATCAAGTTGGTAACTTGAAATCCACCACACTGGGGGTATTTAAGTATTTACATCATCGAAATAGGCAAATTCTATAAAATCAGGGCTTTTTTTGGAGTGCTGGTTGTGAAACATTTACCAGTACACCACTGCCCTTCTCAGCAAATACCTCCCCAAAGGTAACCATTCTTCTGATTTCTATGACCATAGATTTATTTTACTCCTTCTTGAACTTTCTTTAAATAGAAAGTAAAGTCTGAACTCCAGCTTCTTTTGCTCAACATGTTGTCTGTGAGAGTCATCTGTATTGTTTGGCGTCACTTTAGTTTATTCTCATTGCTATGTAGTATCCCATGCTATATGAATATATCACAGTGTATTTATCCATCCTCTTGTTGATGGGCATTGGGTTTGCTTGCATCTTTTGGTACACGTATGTACTCATTTCTAGGTAGACATGCAGGAGTAGAACTGCTTTGTATACATATACTGTAATTAGATTTCATAGAGTCTGTAGAGAAATTTTATAAGTGGCTATATTAATCTATACTCATAGTAGAAAAGTATGATAGACTCAGCCGCCTCTTCTGAGGAGGAAGAGGAAGTAGATGAAATAGATCAGAGGAACCAGTGGGGAGCAAGAACTTGGGGGAGCCCTGGGCTAGGTTAGGCAACCCGATTCTCTGCTCCCTATTCATGACAAATATAACTATCCTTTGCTGAGCATGCCATCTTCCAGGAACTATACCAGAAACTACTTGTATTATCTGTTTCTTCTCACCACACCCATATGCCGTAGATACTACTACTAGCCTCATTTTGTAGGTGAGAAAATAGAGGCTTAGAGGAGTTAGGTAATTTGCCCAGAGCCAAACCATAAGTAATTGGCAGAACTGGGATTCAGACATCGATAGTTGCCTCTCAAACCCTGTCTGTGGATCGTGCTCTATTTGGCTTTCCCAGAATATGTCTGTTAATAAAGGAGCCATATTTTATTATGATTACCTGTTTATGGGTTTGCCTCTGTGATTATACTGCAACTCCTTGAAGACATCGATTGTTTCTTATTTGTCTTTATGTCCCTAGTACCTATCCCAGGGCTTGGCACATAATAGGCACTCAATAAATTGTAGCTAAAAATAATATTTAGATTTATTGAGAGCTTACTATATGCCTAAAAATATTGTAAGTACATTGCATAGAGTAACTCATTTAATCCAGAACAACCCTCTTAGGTTAGTACTATTATTAGATCCATTTAATAGAGGAGGCTACCAGGGTCTAATGAGATTAACTACCTTTTCTTGGGTCATGCAGCTGGTAAGTAGAGGAGTTGTGACTGAGTCAAGTGACTCAAAACTTGTGCTCCTTATGTTGTATCATTTTGCCCTACCTTACAGAGTTTTTGGAAGAAATAGATTAGGAAATGAATATGAACATGCCTTTTGCATAGTCAGGCACATACTAAGACAGCTCGTGGTAAATATTTTATGGTATCAATGATGTAAAGAACTGTGTCAGTCAGGGTAGGCAGAGAAACAAAACCTCTCTAGCCATTACAAATAATGGAAATATAACACAGGGAACTGCTGTTTCAGTTAGCTCAGGCTGCTGTAACAAAATATGACAGACTGGTGGCTTAAACAACAGAAATGAATCTTCTCACAGTTCTGGAGGCTGGGAGTCCAAGATCAGCGTCCTGGCAGATTCAGTTCCTGGTGAGAGCTCTCTTCCTAGCTCGCAGACAGCCACCTGCTTGCTTCGTTCTCACATGACAGGGAGAGAGAGTGAGCTCTCTAGTGTCTCATCTTAAAAGTACAGCCATCCTGTCAGATCTAGGCTTCACCCTTTGACCTCATTTAACCTTAATTACTTCCCTGTTCCAAATACAGCCACACTGAGGGTTAGGGCCCAAACATATGAATTTGGGGTGCAGGGGGGACACAGTTTAGTTTGTAGCAACTGCTTGCACAGGTAGGTGACGGAAGAAGTAAGAAGTCAAATGCGATGGCAAGGTAAACCAGAGATTAGCAACAGTAGGAAGTTGCTACCACTTGTAGGCCTGGAGGGACAGAGAAAATGTTACCAGATCCCAGGATCTAAGGCCACCTGGTGGAAGATGGAACCATGGCAGGGACACAGAAGAAGGACTGTCTAGCCGGAATAGAAGCCATGAAGGTGACTCAGTGTCTACTGTCAGAACAGAGAAAGGGAGACGTGCCGTGGTTTCTTCCTTCTTCCGCTCTCCAGTCTTCTGACAGTGCCTTCCATTGGCTGACTTCACCTGGACACCAGAAAGCAAGGGAGCCTGGGAAAGGCAGTTTTCTGATGCAAAGCAAAGCTGAGATAGGCAAGGATTGGACTAAGCAGACCGGGAAGACTGCCATAGCAATTTGAGATTTAGAGAGCAAGCACACAGGTGTTGAACTTTTTGATTAAAGGGTATGAAAATGGTGGAAAGTATAACTAAGATTTGAAATTTTCATGTGAAATTCTATGAAGTTTCCTGGATTCTTTCTGCTTTGATGAATATTCAAAGCAATTTAGAGATAGGACTTTAGAGCAGTTGTTCTTACCTGGGGCCATTTGCCCCTCAGGGGATATTTGACAATGTCTGAAGGGTGGTCACAGCTGGGGTAGAGGGGAAGTGGTACTGGTGTCTAGTGGGCAGAAGCCAGGGATGCTGCTAAACATCCTACAGTACATCTCTTTAGCTACCATGTCTAGCTTGTCACTCTGCCTTGTTGATACTTCTATTGTATCTTCTTTCTTCCTCTTCCCTTAGCCATGGCCCTGGTTCAGGTCATCATCACTTCTCTCTAAGATCATTGCAACAATCTCTTGATGAGTTTTTCTACTTCATACTGTCTTCAAATCCATTGCCCATTGTGCCAGAGGAATGATATTTCTAAAATGCAGATGTTATCATGTTATATTACTCGCTCACAAGTTTGGAATTGACTACAAGGCTCTTAGTAGGAACTAATCCCCCTCTTCCCGGCTCATCTCCAGACACTGCTCCAGTAGCACCTCATGAGCCTTCAACTTTCTTTTCTTCTGTTATCTCTTCATATCTTTTCCATGCTGTTCCCTATGCCAGGAATGACCTTGGTAATCATTTAGTTGGATTCCTTCAAGGTCTGGCTCAAATGTCAGTGAAGCTTTTCTGGATCCATCAGGACTGAATTAATTTTTTCCATTCATCTGCATTTTCCCATAGCACTTTATATTTAAATATCACTTATTCTAATGTATTTTGCCTAGTTTTTTTGTTGCCTCCATTTTATTATAAGCTTCTGGAGTATTCCTGAACCCCTAAATTGAATTTGTTCCCCACACCCTGGCAAGGTTCCTAGAATATATTAGAGGCTCATTAATAATACCTGGTCCATTTGAAGAAAGTTATCCATTCTTAGTTTATAAAGATTTTTCATAGATTATCAATATTTTTATTTATAGTAAAAATATTTAATACATATAGTATTATATGTATTATATGTCAGGTAATGCTCTAAGGAATTCACATGTATTAACTCATTCAATTCTCACAACAATTCCATTATTAAAATTGTTATCCTCATTTTATAGGTAAGGAAACTGAGCCACAGGGAGGTTTAGTAAGTTGCCCAAAGTTCATGGAGCCAGGATTCAAATTCAACTACCCTGACTCCACAGCTTACATTCTTAAAACACAACACTGTAGTATATCTCTTGGAAAAAAGCTGATTTGTTACAGAAACAGTTTTAGATTCTTTCCAGAGGAGCTAAATTGCTGAGGGTAATACCTGAATATCAGAGTATGTTGACATAATGCCATAAACCCAAATTGAGTGGTCTCCTTTCCTTTAGCCTTATGCTTTGTGCACACCCCCATCATAACATGTATCACTCTGTATTTCAAGCCTCTGTTTTCATGCCTGCTGCTTTAGTCTTTTGGGGAACAATTGAGGCAACAAATGTGTCTTTTTTAACTTTATGTACTACCCACACATAGTGTGGTACCTTCTGATAGATGCTTATCCAACCAATGTTTATTAAATGAAAGAATAAGAAATAGTGCTTGCGTTTTTAAAGACATTAAAATTGCCATATCCATAAATGAAAGTTGACAGGTCCTATGACTTACAACCAATTAACTTGACTCCAAAAGATACCTGAAGATGAAAATATCCTGTCCTTTTTCCTGAGAAGAGTTTGTTTAGTACCACTTTGATCTCCTCTTTCTATTACACTAGGTGGTGGTTAAGAGCTATAGAATCTGGAATCAGATTTGTTCAAGTTCCAATCATGGCTTCACTGTCTAGTCATTGAGTGATCTTGGACATATTACTTACTTTCTCTGTACCTCATCTGAAAACCAAGGATGAAAAGAAATCTCTATAGGGCTGTTGTGAGATTAAATGAGGCAATCAATGCATGCAAAATATTTAGAACATATACTACAGTTAGTACATAATAAACGTTAGTAGCTGTAATATCACCATCATTATAAGAATAAGTAGACCTAGCATTAGCATTTCAATACTCACTTATCGAGTTTTGGTTTTGATTATGAAGCTTCTTTACACTTCAAAGAAAGTTTGGGGCCATCAAGGAATTCATCTTCAAAGATCTGAATGTTTGAAATGGATTTTGACACCAGCTCCTCCACAGAATGATAAATCTGCTCAGACTCTCTTTCCAAGACTGCTATCCAGCGATCATGTTAAGTTAT